AACAATCTACTTTTATTGAGCAGTGCATGCATCAACTTTACCAAGCTCTACACATCGTAGAATAAATAACGCTTATTTTAATACAATAACACGTGTCCAGTTGATATATTCACGGAATATCTTTGAAAATATTAACAGAAACCATATATTTAGATAATAAAGTCGAGCATTAAAAAAGTTACTAAATGAAACTGGAAAAACTAGCTAAGAGAAACGCAAGGGCCTCCGTGGTGCAGTGTGTAACACGCGAGCCCCAGAAGAGGGTAATCGTGGCTCGATCTGTCCCAGGGTCCAAGTTTTGCGAACATCTCAGCATCATTGTGGTGGTAATTTACATCATATCCGGCCGTGAAAAATTATAGTAGGCGGAAAGTAGAAGGTTAACACTGTTACTAAATGAATATCGAAAAGCCCAATACAGAAATGTTACATTAAATACTATCGACCAGAGTTAGATGTCAGTTTCAACAATGTAGATTTGCTTAAACGCTTATCATCGTTCCATTGGACCTTTGAAATACATGTATCATGTAGAGAGATTCGACTAACGAATAGGGCTACTGTAACAGACAAACCAGCGGCTACCGTACACCGTCGTCGCCGTGGCCGCTAAACTGGTTAGGTCCCGCTGACTGTAATCAACGTCCGTCTAAGATTCGATTCTACTTCGGTTTTTTTCCGTACTTTTTCATGCATCGCTACGAGATTGGTGCTCATCGCATCACTGACATACAAGTACCTGCCGTTATTGTTTCTACACTTATGCAATGGGTTTCGAACGTCACGAACGATGAAAAACCTGAAACCAGCCTAGACACGACCTCAAACGTCTGCTTAGTTATTTTCGGAACAACGCCACGATTTTACCAAAGAAGAAGGCGAACTAGATGTCCAGTTAATGAAAGACTTAGGAATAAAATTTATAAAATAAATTAACGAATACAATTTACTATTACAGTGATAACTCGGTCGTAAACGTTACCATTATATCCTTGAGCTTATGACAATCCAAACAATCTTTAAAGGCTGCCACACTACAAACATCACAAAATCGAAGAATTCACTATGAATTTTTCTAGTTCTTGGTTTATTTTTCTCGCCATACCATCTTGGACCATTTCGACAACCTATAACCTCGATCATCTTTGCGTTATTGGTGGGCGTACCAAGAAAACCTGCACTCCTTGTCGCGTACTCGAGCATCAAAATGGCGTCTGCTTACTCTACGAACGCAAAAAAGTATAACATATTTCGTATAAAATCGCTTGTTTTGATCCCTTTCGCTTCGCTGCGAGTTTTCGTCGAATCAACAATGAGCGGATAATAGTCTACACATGTGAGTAATGATAACAAATGTACGGAAATTACAAGTTGATCAGACAGAGCCGAGAACAAGAACCTCATATCTGAATCCAACTGCGCCCTCTGATAAGCATTACACAAGTTCGCTCATAGTCCATCTATAACTCACATGTCCGCCACCTGGGTGCGGACCACGTTGCGTCGCAATTGGCTCGTGGTCCTATAACTGAGGCAAATCCCAGGATAGCCAAATATGTTTAACTAACGAATGGTGCAGAGGTTTTGAGATAATATTTCATAACACTTCGACACAGTGCAAAATCTCATCCTCTTAACTAACTCATTCGATAATAACAATGTAATATCCTCTCACAGTGTTTAATTTCCTTCACACATCGCTCGTTATAGTTAACCGATACTGGCCACCTGAAGCATCAGCCTAAAGAGCAGAGTTACTCAATCTGACTATCGCTCTCAGGTAAAATCAGACTATTTTTAGCATCAGCTATGAGAAAAAATTTTGTGACTAACTGGAAAACAACGGCAATCGCGTGAGATAGTTTTCAATGCCAAGCAACAAGTACCTGGAACACCGCCGTACCAGACACGTCACAACAATTGGTGAGAATCAGAAGCGCCACGGAAAAACCGTGCAAATGAATTACTTCATAGTAATCAAATATCCAAGTCACATAATTATGGGGTAAAGATAACACCGAAAAATCACTTCCAGAGTGAATTAGTAAACAACAGTAATTCAGCCGGTTTTAGCACTAAATTAGTCTTCGAATAACACTTTTTCTTTCCTAAGTAAATAAAAGATTTATTGACCTCAATTCTAACCATTTACTACTTTTATACTACGATTACGGTGCGTGTGACGTAGTGGTCGGAGGCGCCCTGCAACACACACGCGGAATTGATCCACGCGCCCATGGATAACCAAGTCTTCCATCCCTCGGGGTCCTCAAATTGGTACCAGATTTGTCTGGAAGGTTGGCAGCACTGGTTCGATACACTGGTAGACTACTGCGGGTCATTGTAAAGGCCAGATGTACATTCAGTCACCTTCAAACGATGCTTAATGAAGTCGAATGCATGGCGCATCCCTCAAGGACTGATCAACGCCGAGAGCTTTATCCTTTATTTTACTTTTTATAATACGATCAGCAAATATGAATTAAGGTAATTGAGATCGCCATATGAATTACTTACATTCTGGATAGCCAAGTTACTACCGTCATTCAACAAGAATTTCGTCTCATACCGACCATTCCAATAACCGAACTAGTAAAGCTTCATTTTAGTTCAAATATCGTATTTAACATTGTTGGACAACATAAAACCACGTGGTAATGCAGCCGATTCTAATTTCATCAGTCGACAAGGAAACGACGCATATTATCACCAACTACCACATTACCATCGGAAACGATCATTGCCTCATAATAAGTGGATTTCATTCAGAAACTTACCATAGATAGTCAGAAAAATTTGTTATGGAAGTAGAAGTTAAACTTTTGGACGGATATATCATTATGCAACACCACTGCTTTAAACAAATGCCAAAATATTTTCCGTAACAGAAGACAAAGACATAAAGATAAAATCAGCAACTAGGCCAAATCACTTGAAAGTCCTTAAAGTGATAGAAAATATGACAAAATAACTAAAACGAACACAAGATTTGAGGATGTCTGTTTCGTTTAAAAGCTTAGGTTTTTACTAATGTGATACTGGTTTGTTATTTTCTAAACCAGCATCTCGAATAGCACACAACACCATGCGCTCTATAATGTACAACAAAGTGTTTCTAATGTCATTGTACCTAGTACTGTTGTAACAATAATAATATTAATGGAATTAATAATAAATAATATTAAATGATAAGGGATTAAGAGCTCGACGTTGATCAATCCCTAAGGGATGCGCCTTGCGTACGACTTTACTAAGCAACGTAGAGGCAACTGAATGCATATCTGGCCTATACAATGACTTGCACTGCCCTACCGACGTCTCAAGTCAGTGTTGCTATCTTCCAAGACGAGTTTGGTACCAATTTGCCGCCCCTGAAGAAAAGTAAGGCGTAATGAGTCCGAAACTCGGGATCGAATGGTACCGGACTTGTCTGGGATGATAAAAACGCCGACTTGACACATTAGGCCACCACAAGTAATTGTACAAACCAGATATGCACTAAATCAACTCTTCGATGCAATGAATGGAGTCGAATGCATGGCACACTTCTCAGGGATTGATCGACGCCGAAAGCTTTATTCTCTGTCCTCTACATGTCCCTCGATAAGAACCCTAACTACACGTATTTTTCCGACAGCTACATTATTTGAGGAGATGAGGAATTAACAAAACTTTAAAATAAATCTATTGCTCTAGACATCCATAATTTTCTAAAACACTTCTATAGGACCTCCAATAACTTTAACCTAATTGTGGTTTACCAACACTTACATTTGATGAGTTGAGACCTTGAAAAACTTGTAGAATAAATCTATCACTCTAAGCACATTCACAATTTTCTAGAACATTTGTCTTAGAATATCTGACTTAAAATCTTAAAAAATAGTGATACAACATGGTCTTTTAGGAAGGAATTTTTGACGCAAGCGTCAGCAACCACACACATTGACGACGCATTGAAATACACGATCGTGTACTTCTGGACGAAATCTCACTACACCGTTTTAATTTTCGAAATACGAGCGTCGAAGACAACAAGAAGAAAACACATCACTGAGCTCTAGAAACCTAGTGTTTATCACTGTGAAGTAAATAAATCTATGTCATATTGCTAAAAATGTGTAGATTCTAGTATTCTACATTTGAATAGTGATGCAGGTTTGCTTAAATTTAAAGAAGCCAACCGTTAATCGCTGCGTACGAATTAAAATCAATGTGTTCGGAAGTGGAGATGTTAGGTTAGCGACTACGAGAATTCGGTATGGTATTGTATGAAAGAAGTGGAAGAGATCTGGAAGCTCACTGCCTGTTCTTTAATACTATGCTTTCACTGCCAGCAATTTGTTCAACTATAAAAAATTCTAACAGTATTCTTTTAGGCATGAATTACCACAAATTTCATTAATTACGAGTGGTAGGCAACGTAGTAGAAATCAAAACTGTGCTTAACATAGTAAACAAAAACGTCATAGACTATTCAAAAAACCAAACTCTCACAAAGGATAAAAAGGATAAAGCTCACCGCGTTGATCAACCCCTGAGGGATGTACCATGCATTCGACTTCATTAAGCACGGTCGGAGCTAATTAAATGCATATCTGGCCTTTACAATAACTCGCGGTGGCCTACCGATGTATCCAGCCAGCGCTGCTATCCTCCCAAACAAGTCTGGTACCAGTTTGCCGACCCCTGAGGGATTGGAGGCTCGGAGAACCACTGAGGCGGGGATCGATCCCATATGGGTATTGCAGGGCGCCTCCGACCACTGCGCTACACGCGTCCTAACTCTAATGCCTCTCACACCTACCAGTATAAAACTTTCGATAATTCATATCCAAAAGCGCAAAATGATACAAAAAGGATTCATTTTCACCTAGTAGCCAGATTTAAGCATTTCTACAAGGTCACAATTTCCGTATCCACTAACTCAATAATACTAGTAAGAAGAAGTAATCCTGCATGAAGTTCAAATGTGAAAAGATGAAAAGTATTATGATAACTTACTGCATCACCAGTGGGAAGTACGCAAGGAACTCTGGACAATTCACTTGACTATCCAATGTAAAGTGGAATTTTGCACCAAACAGCGGAGGACTCTGAAGCTCGTCCTTATTGTCGTATCGTATAGTGCAAACTGAGTTCCGAAATTCACCATCGTTTTCGCGAACAGACCATCTAAAATAATGACAGTTATCTTAAAAATTTATTTGATCATTTAATCAAACTCATCAATCTCTTAAAAATATGCGTATTAAAAAGTTATGAATTTTAAACTTGAGCAATAAATGCCAGAAAAGAGAACAGCATGGGAAAGTTCAAGACATATTGGCAATACACTCATAGAAAACATGAAAATGAGCGCCTTTATTGACATTTTTTCTACTTAAAATATATAAGATTCACGAGTAATGGCTGATAACAAGTGTAACGAGCAAAATAATGTGCACCAGAGCTTCTCTGCGTAGCCCATAATGCACTGTTTTACTTACTTGCTTGCACACTTGCATGGCCCGTCTTCACTGTTTGTGTGGACAACAACATAATTTCCACTTTTTCGAAGCTTTGCTCGAGTAGCCATTGTGGTTTCCTGGAATCCCGAGGTCAACCTGGCCAAAATCTGCCCCACGTCGTCACCACCACAGGAAAACGCCGGCTCTTGTAGATTACAGAGATTTGCCACCATGCGACTAGTTTCATACCAGGACGGTGGTGGATCCTGGCATTGGTTTACTTTTAACTAGGCTTTGTGATGGAAACGCCCGGCTCTTCATCAGCTTGTGAGATACCGCCGCGGGACGAATGTCCTCGCTGTACATCGCAACCCGACACCCAGGAACACCTCCCAGCCACGATGTGGCGGTAAACCGTTGGGAAGAAGGTAATGTTTTTGTTTCTAAAAATATAAAAGTGCTCTCAAACTTGTTCATTACAATTGCAATTTATAATTCCAGCAGAAGAGACCAACAATCGATTTCGAAAAAAAAACGCTTCAAATCGCAGTCGAAAGAAAAAAGATTTTGTTCATGGTCTAATTTACAACACCCACTTTATGCGACTACTTCTTTTTTCCCTTTTCACGGGAAACAAAATCAACCACAGATTCTTGAATACTGTGAAGAGTTCGCCTACAGTTTCCTAGAAAGAAAAAAATGTCTTGTCGAATGGTCGGGAAGATCAGAAGCGAAATTTACATAAGAGCCGCTCACGGCACGACGTCATTTTTTCTGGGAGATTTTCAAGGCGAATCGCAACATAACGAATCGATCAGCGCTTGAGGAAAAAAGGCCACCGTGAGAAAGAAAAAACAAATGTCAGATGGGCTTTATGTAGCAATCTGGCCTCATACGTTTCAGTTCGCTTCCGGTTGCTCCGTTTTCCAGAATTCTCAATTAAATACCCAGGATTTTTTCGTTAACCATTGATCTAGTTCATGTCACGAAGGAGCGATATCCATGAGCACTGCGCTTTCCATTGCAAAGGAATTACCACGCATATCAAGCGATCTTTTTCTTAGTAAATATTACTTTGAGGTAGGTGCATGCAGCGCAGTAATTAGAAGTGCTCTGCAATAGAATGGTGGTCTTTGGCTCGATACCGCATCTTGGGCTACCCAAGTCTTCCATTATTACGAGGTCGGCAAGTTGGTAAGAGACATGTCTGAGAGTATTACACCACTGAGTTGGTACATCGGTTAGCAACGGCAAGTCACTGTGTAGGCCAGATATGTATTCAATCACCTCTCACCACAACTGATAAAGTCGAACGCATGGCGCATCCGTTAGGGATTGATCAGCACCAAAAGATTTACCCCTATCTTTCTAGAAGAGCAAAGTGCTAAAAGTCTTCATAAAAGAGTTGCTACAAGAAACGCTTTACAATATTAAATATTACCACCAGTGTTACAAAATAAAACAGTGATGTTAAACAGTTAGTAACCAGTCTGCTAAATATTATTAATCGTTCCCTACTATCAATAACCGCCGTTCGAATCCAGAGTACGACATGGTAGGTAATTTCTACGTGAACACGTCTCCCATGTGAATCATGCACTGTCCACACATCTGGGAACGTGAAATCACCCTGTTCGCGCAATTGGGGACCGGCGGCGAATGCAAAAGCTGAGGCGGATCGTGAAAACATGAGCACGAAAAACCAAATGCAGCCATAAGAGGACACTACGACGGAAACCATGAAGATGAAATTATTTAGAAACGGTTGGGGGTTTTCCTTCACGCAAGAAGCATAAAACGAAAAAGATCTGTAAAATTAGTATTTTGTGTAATAACACGCAAAACAATTCCTATCAACGCATTCGACTTGAAGTATCTCATCATATATATATATATATATATATATATATATACGTATACAACCGTATACATATACATTGTACATATATATATGTACATATATATATATATGTGTACATATATATATATATATATATGTACATATATTTACACGACTCGTCTTCACATCTACTGTGCAGATCCCAGCACTTATTGCATTTGATTCGTTTACTCGAATTCATCGTCCATGAAGGTCTTCGGTCTTCGAAGTTCTTCGCTGATGTTTGAAGATTGTCGTCTATATGAATGTTTAAATGCTGCTCAAATCGATTGCCTTTGGAGTCCTGGATGACCGAGCTACAGGGCTTCCACTTGAATTGGATTGTTATCATAGTTATCCGGTTTTTCCCCGAGAGGTTACCGAATTGATGGGCTCGTAGCACGGTTGAATCAGTACAATGCTCGTGATGAATGGCATATGCACTGGTACGCTAGCTGACCCCTATATACATCTATACATATATATGCGCATATATAAACCAGAAACCAATATCAGGACTCACCACCGTTCTAGAATCAAACCAGATATATATATATATATACATATATGTATACATACACACATACATATACATGCATACATTGTGTGTATCTACATATGTAGATATCTTTGGTGAGAACGGAAACCCTGTAAATGAACCACTTAAATAGTTCTGCTTTTTCACCTTTGTGAATCTGCAACAGTGTCAAAGAAACAACTTAATGAAAGGTGAAAATATTAGAATCGTATGGAGCACATAGGTTTGTGGCTTGTATTGAGGAGAGAACCAAAAAAGAATGGACCCTTATGCAGTCACAACCGAGTCATTAACGCAGATGACTTCCACGGGACGATGGCTTTACGAAAATCTGTGTTCGCTCCTCAGTGGCCAAATTTTCATAGCAATGAATTTAGGTAAAAAGTATACTTCTGTCCACAGTGTTTCATTTGATGATTAACCCCACTTCATCACTTTTCTGCTTTGTAAAAAAAAGCAAAAAAATACCGCACAGTAGGTGCACAATATGTGCCAGATACGAAATGGGTGTCCTACATCGAGAAATATGCATCCGAGCTGGTAAACTGATTCAACTCTCGTAATTTGATCTCTGCTTCAATACAGTGTCCATTACACAGCCGCTCTGAATTATGGGAACCTTTAAGGTAGAGTAGGATCTAAAAAATACATTGTCTGCCACGAGTCGTCTCAACGTCATTGACATATAGCCATGCGCAAGCGAACAACGCAACCGCTTTAAAAACGAATGGCTGGTCCGAAACAACTACAGTGGTTTCGTACATCTAGGTACCAAAGAGTTTAACATAATTCATGGAACAAAAAAAAACTTGTGGAAATCAGATCAAGTGAATTCGAAAAATCGACAGGCAATATTTCAGCACTTTTTCAAGCAATATATAGTATATCCATAGCTAAATCCCTCCCACATAATTTTAATTCCATTTGGAATTGTTTTTAAAAAATTAAAGTTAAAAAAATTAATTTTAAATTTTAATTATGAATTTGAAAAAACCTTCACATATGTCTCTCATGTAAGAAACCCGATGCTGTTTAGTTCCAAGTCTACAGAGAATGCACCTAGGAGTATGTTCGATGTCAAACATGAACCAAAAGCGAATTAATATGATAAGCTACGTGCGAGTACCTTCGTAATAAAAAGAGTAAAAATAGAGAAGTATGACGCCATCCAGTTCATATCTCTAAAGGAAGAGGAATTTACTGAGTAATTTCAAGGCTCGGAAGGGATTAGTTGTACAGGCAACCGTTCCAGTCACTCATTAATTAATGAGACTAGCTTACATCCATACTTCCATATTCTAAAGATTTCAGTTTTACACATACAAACACAACCAGTCTTTCATATTTACTCTGCGGATCCCAGCACTTCTCGCATTCGATTCGTTTCTTCGCATCCATCACTTGGTCTTCCAACTGTTGACTGTGGTTATGGTTTATGCTTGAAGATTCTCTTTTCGTTACGAATGTCGCTGAATGTTCGTCGAGCCGATTCCCCCTGGAGTCCTAAGATAGCCGGGCTAGAGCATTCCCGCTTGGAATGCGCAGAGTGAATTTTTCCCCGAAGAAGTCCACCAACAACTTCCAGACCACGGAGGGATGAGAGGCTCAGTGGGCACGAAGCGGGATCGAACCAGCACCGCGCTCGTGATGATAGGTACCACATTCATTGCGCTATCCACTCCGTAGATTTCCATTTTACACACAACAATAATCACTGTCTTTAAAGTACGCATAAGAACAGTAATTAGTATAGCAACCATTAGACCACAGATAGGTTAGGGTAAAACGAATCATCGTGGAAGAGAAAGTTCGCAAGACTTTGCTCTATCATATTTCTTAAAACTGTTCAATGAAACCTCCCAACGGTTTACCGCCTCGTCGTGGCTGCGAGGTGTTCCTGGGTGCCGGGCAGCGATGTAAAGCGGAGGAATTCATCCCGCCGGTAAGGTCCCACGAGCTGAAAAGGAGTCCGGCGTTTCCACCATGAAGCCCAGCTAAAAATAAACCAATACCAGGATCCACGACCGCTCTAGAATCAAACTAGTCACATGATGGCAAATCTCCATCTGATCCACAAGGATGACGACTGCCTTTGGTGGTGACGACCAGAGGCAGACATTCGCTAAGCTGAACTCGGAACTCTAGGGTAAAACAATGGCTAAACCAGCAAAACTCCGAAAAAGTGGAGATTATGCTGAGGCCCGGACAACTGGTGAGGACGGTCCGTCCAAGTATAAAAGTAATTGCCATGAAATGCGATGACTATGCACATGTTAACTAGATCACCATGGGAATGGCTAGAAAAACTTACACAATTCTTTCAGCATCCGGTAGAGTTCCAATCAAATATCCACCCGGACGGAGAGTTTCTGTTGCATTACGTAAGAATGTACGAGCCGACTGTTCATCAATAAACGAATAATGAAGAGCGAATTGACAACTAACAAGATCGAACTCTGAATGGCTTGAAATTTTCGACTTCAGATTTTCCTGAAAAGTTCTTGATATTAAAATATTGAAAAGAACCTAATACGCAAAAAAGGGATACATGGATATTCAAAGGAGGAAAATATATTACGAAATGAGCAACACCCTGTGAGGAACATTTGCCAGAAAATGTTAAAAAAATAAGTCATATAGGTATTCTCTGCTTAGAGCGCATATAATAATAGCAAGTAAGAACACTCCGAAGACAGCAACGGCCTATCAGAAGAGCTTTCTTAATGGCAATAAATTTTAAGGCTAAATCATCCCTCCCTACCTTACAACAATCCGCATGAACGAACTCTGCGGAAAACAAACCATATCGCTCACGTTGCAGCATCTGTTTGTACCTCTCCTCTGCATGATGTAAAGAAACTTTCGCAACGTCTGAAGGATATAAAATGTAACAAACAACGAAGTCACAGCAAAGCCATTACCAACCAGCCATCACAATGCTCTCGATATTTGCCACTTTCCATTTCCGAAGATCTCCACCTTTCCCACAAGCGAGATCAAGTACTCGCGGACGAAGCAAACTGCTTGAACTCTCTTCTCGAAGCAAAGAAAGCACTTCGCCTGGAAAAAAGTAGTATAATCTAGAAGACAAAGCAATCACCTGTATCACCTGTAGTCCCGTTGATCGTCGAGTGACTCGAGCGGGCGCCAGTAAATCTTCCATTTTTCCCTGTCGCGTGCAAGAGTAGCCCAGTGGGTTCTGACCGCTCTTGGTACTCATCGAGCATCATATTTTTCTTCTAGGCTCCCCGTCAAGAACACTGACTATTGGGTCGGTGGTCTTCCTGCAGTGCGTTTAACATCCAGAGAAATCCAGTTACTAACGGCTCCTGCCCATCGGCTGTCATTCATACGCATTACGTGTCCGACTCACCTTATCTTCGACTGTTTGGCGTATAGAACGACGTCTTTGACTTTTGACCGTTGACGCAGATCAGAGCTTCGGATCCCATCCCTTACTTGTGTGAAACAGGATACTCCTAGCACCGTCCTTTCGACTGCGCGTTCGATAATGCTGAGTGACCTTTCATCCTGCTTATGCAGCGACCAGGTTTCTGACGCACACGTTAGGGCAGAAAGTACCGTTCAGTCGAAAAGGTGGGCATGGAGTCGGGTATTCTTTGTTTTCTTCACTACATCCTCGATGCTCTTAAAAGCTCCCCAAGCCGCTCGTTTTCTTCTGCTCAACTCTGGAGCTAGGTCGTTCATCATATTAATTTTTTGACCTAGATAGATATGACTGGAGCATTCGGAGATATTCGTTCTGTTGAGCGTGAATGGGGCATGGAAACCAATCCGTTCTTCATGAAGATCGTTTTTGTGACAATTAGTCGAAGATCAACCTTTCCAGAGGCTTTATCAAAGTCGGCAAGCATACGTTCCGCTTGGCCAATGTTTGGTGTTATAAGGACGACGCCATCAGCAAAGCGAAGATGGTGTAACTGCCGACCGTCGATTCTCACTCCCATATTATACCATTCCAGTTTTCGTATGACATTCTGGAGGGTGGCAGCAAATAATTTTGGTGAAATGGTATCGCCTTGCCTAACTCCTCTTTTGACGACAATGTTAATATCGTTGTAGAATCTTGGTTGTGAAACTTTTGTACAGCTCACGAAGAATCTTTATGTACTGAGTAGGGACTCCTCCATTATCAAGGACTTCCAAGACTGATTCTATCTCAACTGAATCAAAGGCTTTCTGTAAATCGATGAAAGTGAGACAGAGCGGTCTTATGTACACTCGCGATACTTCAATGAACCTTGTTATCGTATAGATGCGGTCCATCGTAAAAAATCCTTTTCGAGACCCTGCTTGCTCACATGGTTGCCCATCGTCTAGTGTTCTGTAAATCCTGTTTAGGATGACTTGAATGAAAAGTTTGTAGACGACAGAAGTAAACAGATTGGGCGATAGTTGCCGATATCGTGCAGGTCACTCTTCTTGAACAATAACACGGTCTTGCTGGTCTTCCACTGAGTAGGGACCTTGCATTCAGACAGGTAACGTGTGAAAAGCCGAGCCAGCGTGTTTACAAGGACTGGCGGAAGGTTCTTCAGGTGCTCTGGTCTTATCCTGTCCTGGCCTAGTGCTGTTCGATTTTTCACCGACGAAATGGCATGCCGGATTTCGGAAGGGAGAACCGGCGGTACAACATATCCATCCTCCTTTATTTAATATGACGGAAGGTGGACGTGGTTATCGAAGAGATCCGAGTAGTATTCGTGAATGATTTTCTCCATTGCCTTTCTGGAAGCTGTAACTGTTCCGTCTGGGCGCCGGAGTGCAATCATTTTGGTCTCATAATTGATGAAGCTTCGGTGGGCTTTCCGAATGCTTTTACCAGCCTCTGCAGTTTCGGCCATTACTACTGCTCTTCTCTCTCTAAGATCTTCTTTTATCCCCTCTCTGCATTGTTTTGCAAGTTCGGACGTTAATTCGCGGTTCCCAGCAGCTCGTGCGAATCCACGCTGACGTATCAGCATAAACTCAGATAGCCGCTCACCCTATCCCTTCCATTCTAATCCGTCGGTCCCATTCTGACGTTCTTCTTGGTCCAATCTTGGCGTTGAAATCTCCAATGATGACCTTGAAGCAAGTCCATATAGCACGCTTCGACTTCTTCTTCATCATAGTTTGATGTCGGCGCGTAAATGACGAAGATTGTCAAAGCCGTAATTGACCCACGTGTTTTCAACCGTAAACGTCCGATTCGGGTTGTAAGTTGTTTAAATTAATCGATGTTCATGGACAAACATGTGTTGACGAGAACGCCGACGCTGCCGACTCCTCTACTGTCGTATGTTCCGAGGAACAATTCTCTCTTGTGTCATAGACGGCGTTGAAAGGACGGCGTCTTCTCGTCTCGGCTAGGCCGATGAAGTCGTACCTTATCTTCATGCTTGCATGAGCTAGTCTTCTATCGAGGACTCGGATGCAAGTATACGTGCATTGTAAGTACAGATCGTCACCTTAGCTCTTCGTGGTCCAGGCAGCTTCCATTGGCCCTGAGATTTTAGCAGCCTCTCCGTACTCGTCCTACCCAACGCTGCCGAATTGGGGGCTCTTTCGGAGTCAGGGGAATGAGGCCCGTTTTTTTTAAACTCTGTTTAGCATTTTGATACCCACTTATAGCTTGCTGGGCTCTGAACGTGGAGGCTGAGTATACTCACGGGTGTCTTGTCATTCTCTCCCAGAGTGGACATGTAGCTCATTTGTTGGAGACGACTCCAAACTGGCTCTCATATACTTCCCAGCCACATGATTGCAGGTTTTTGGCCGAATTGATTCGTAGAATGCAATCCGCATAAGCAAAAACGCACCCACACACGCATGCATGAATACGCGAAGCAAATACAAAAAGTATGTGCCAAATCAGGGCAGCAGAAACAGGAAGTCCGTACCCTGGATCCACCTGCGTCACAGGGAAGCAAAGGTCGCTTTTGGTCCGCGATTAACCCCCTATCCGCCACCTGAGGACGCGCCACGTAGCCTCGCGACTAACCGGCTCGAGATCCCTCATACGAGGGAGATCCGTGGGACAAAGTAATAGCACGGAAAAATAACCGAGAAACGGTAGGACATTGTTAAAAACGGTTCCTTCCCTGAAAAAGACTACATAACAGTAATATCGTTCCACACCTTGAAAAATAATAGAAAAATTCAAGTGCAGCAATCGCTGGACATATCTGCGCATTAAAATGACATTGCTGAGCCTCGATCAAAACCGAAGTGACGATACTATTTCACCCGAGCTTATTACGCCGAGTTTTACAAAGACACTGCTATTAGCACTAGTAGCACTAGTGATAAATATTAGCAACATAGAGCAGCGGATGCTTTGCAGTAAAAATTGATAAGGGATGAAAGGATGGAGCTCTCGGCGTTGATCAATCCCTGAAGGATGCGCCATGCATTCGATTTCATTTAGCATCGTTGGAGGTGATTGAACGCATATCTGGCATAGCAATGACTTGCGGTGGCCTACCGAAGTATCGAGACAGTGCTGCTATCCTCCCAGACAAGTGTGGTACCAATTTGCCGACCCCGGAGGGATGGAGGGCTGGTTGAGCCACGAGCACGAAGATCGATTGCACGTGTGTGTTGCAATGCGCCTCCGACCACTGCGCCACACGCACCATTTAAATATTGAAAATACACAGTAATTAAAAATAGTCCCAACCTCCGAATACTGAATTTTCAACAAGAAAGAAGGAAGAACTAAGGATCTCACGTATCAATTCGCTCTTCATCCAGTTGTTCAAATTTCTCATGTAGAAAATACGGCTATCAGCTCGACCAACGATATCTTCTTGTCGAACCGAATTGTAATGGTCGGCCACAGTGTCCGAACTCATCTGTTAGGTGCATAGATATTATGAAAAGAAGAAAATAGAGAAAAACAGAAAAGATCGATAGTCTTCGCGGCTGCATATCGATGATATCCAGTGGAACTCGACTCTTTGCAAAGGATGTAGGTGTCTTTTTATCACAAAATTGACATAGCAAGAAAAAACACTGAATTACAATGCATATACATAATATTATACAGAGAAACATGCATATATTACAGCTCACTCGGCCACAATAACATTTAAGCATGCCAGATGTAATCTGGAGCTTTGAGACAAAGTGATGAATACCTAGAAGTCATTCCTCACAAGCACTTTTCTTCTGCGGAACATTTGTCTGCAACACGGGAATGTAGGGATCTTCCTCATTGTCGCTATTAGACGACGCACTATCACTAAAATGTAAGACATCATGAACGCTTACTTAAAAATACCAATCACATTTCTTTTTCAAATTCTCTAAGAAAATTCTGTACTTTCACAACGTTAATCTTTTACTTACTGCCTACTGTAATTCTTTACGACAAGATGTAATGTGAAATTTAACCACAATGGTGCCGAGATATTTGCAAAACTCCGGAAGGGGTAATAAGGCGTTCGTTCCCCACCGGAGACATCTAGGGTCCGGTGTTTTGCAAATATCTCAGTATCGTTGTGGTTGCATTTCTGCATTTTCAATCCTTGTATCACATTAAGTTGCCTAATTCCTAATTATCATAGGTTTCAGCGAAAATTTTCAGGCCCCAAATTTTCGGTGAAGTATTCTGGAGATTTCATACCTATCATTCAATAGAATGCCAACAAAATGCAGAGAAATCTGGGAAAACATACAATATGCGACAAATGGGTAAGTAGAAATCAAAATTTTTCTCAATAATGCGAAATTACTGAAAATCGATGGATATGTTTGTACCAAACGCATGCAGAAGTTTCCCTGATCACTGCAAAAGAAGTTTAGAAGGAAACAGATGGAAAGGAAATGCACAGAAAAAGAAGGAAAGCTAAGGAGACGAATGAAGGGTTCAGATAGATTCTTCACTAACAGACAAAACTGGTAGAAAATCAAGAAAAGTCCAACACCCTACCTGGATAAGAAACTAAGTAAGAAAGAAAACAAATGACTGCTCTTCAAATTTGCCGCTAGATAGCAGAGTTAAAATAGTGTGCAAAAGTAGCACACCTACATGACGAAAACGGGTTACAAATGGGGAAAACGGAGAAACGTTTTTTGTTCATAATTAAATAATAAAGGATAAAGCTCTTTGCGTTGAATAATCCCTAAAGGCTGCGTCATGCATTTAACTTCACTAAGCATCGTTGGAAATGCCCGAATGCATATCTGGCCTATGCAATGACTCGCGGTGGCCTACCGATGTATCGAGCCTGTGCTGCTGTCCTCCCAGAGATGTCTGATACAAATTTGCAGAACCAGAAGGTTGGATGATGGGACATGGGCGCGGAGATCGCTCCCATGTGTTGCAGGGCGCCTCCGACCACTGCGCTACATGCGTCCATTTTTGTTCATAACTTAATAAAGTGTGGATGGGGCCAAAGAACCACTTATTTTAAATAATATCCTGCTAATTGAAAAGTTCACAAGACCATAGTCGTTCTTGACAAGTAGGAAATTTTCGGAGAACACACCTTGAAGCTTCATAAGTGCCAATACCAGGTATAGTACCGATAATTCTCATTGCAGACACAGTATTCTGATAGGTAATCGGAGCAACGCTCGAGTTCTCTTCGACACGTGGTACTTTGTGAGCAGAGTTCTCACCGTTACTACCTGTCCTAAAACATCTAACATCATCAAATACTCTTATAACGTTCCTGCTGAGAAAGGAAGTGCAGCAGTGATCTGCCATAAAACGGTGCTATGAATAGAACTAACGATTTCCTCTTTATAGCCGAAGATAATATAGCAGCTTGTTTGGATATTTGTGGACGATCTTCTTTAGGTACGACCTTAAGTTGAGACACTGTTGGGTGTTCAACAAGATTCTGCTGATTTCGAGCAAGTGCTGCTTCTCGAAGTGCTTCTTCTTCCTCCTAAAATCGCTTGAAGCTGTAAGAATAACAAATCCAGGACTCTAATAACCACTGGAGAGTTGACTGAACTGCAAAGACAAAGTAGACTGAGATGACACCAAAAAAAGGTCAAAAAGCAAACATACCTTCTTAGCCCTTCGAATCTCCGCAGCCTTCAATTCATCTACCCGAGCGAGAAAGTCGCTTTCATCCTCATCAATCCCTCGTATCATGTTTTCTAGAAATATCCAACTCTCAGACAGAATACCAAAGACGGGGATGGTACTCAGAACAAAAAAAGGCCGAAGGACTCAATCTAAAAAAAGGATGAAAGACTAAAAGAGCAAGGAATTACTGACTCACAGCATGCCACCGATGAGCATCCGGCTTCTGCTCATATAAGTGAAAAAACTTTGGAAATAAAAGCTAAAAATAAGCAAAATCCACTTACTAAACCTCCTAGCTTCGTCGAGTTCTGCCTGCTTAGCCTCCTTATTGTCCCTCAGCTGTTCATAGAGCGATTTATTGCAGACTTCAGGTTCTGGTGCTGCTGTATCGAACAGATTAGTTCTTATATCGATATAAACAAGATGGACTATATTAAATAGCCTTTAGTGATTACACATCTGAAAGTATAACACAACCAACTCAATGGATCTTCTGGCTTTCGAACCCGTTCCCATTCTTCTTGACGCTTCTTGCGCATCTCTTCTAACTCACTCGATGTGATAAATCCGCTCGACATCTTCAAAACTTGAAATTCACCACACGAACATCAGATGTATGTGTAATTATACCATATTTCTAGGTGTGCTAACGAAACTAACAGCTCAATGGGATTTTGAAATAAACCTTCGTCATTATTTACTAACTAGCGCGTACCTTACATGACCGCTCCTGTAGACTGAAGTGCTCTAATCCAAAACCAAATAGGATTGCGAGAAACTCGTACTAAAACTGAATATCCGAAGCAAGCAGTTTTATGTCGGGACGAGTTCACTCGCATTACAACCTTTGGTTTGCGCCTGGTTTCCTGCTCGTCTTGTAGTTGTAGTGATCCTGGACTTTCTATGGACTTACGAATTGTTTGTGGACCCTATAAATTTGCTCAAGGAGGAAAGGATAGCCTGAATTGATGGATTTCGCTTTCAGGATTTGTCGATAAGAACTACCTTTGGTCGAGGATTTCAAGACTAATCATAGTTCTGTAATCTTTTGATCGCCTGTTGCGAAATCCTTCAGATTTGTTTTGTAGTTGTGCTGTCATCGATTATCAACCTCGTAAGCTCAACAATTTAAACACAGGTTCATTAGTCATACCGAGCTTAAAGGAAAGTTGATTCATGAAGTCGTTAAGGCTTCTCATAAATATCTTCATTTGGATGAAGTTGTGATTTTAACCTTTTATTTGCTACCTATCGCAATTTTTCACGGCAGAGTATGGTGTGAAACACAACCACGGCGATGCTGATATATTCGCAGAGCTTCGACCCTGGTCCAGATTGTACCACGATTACCCTTTTCGGGGGGTCGCGCATTACGCGCTGCACGACTAGGCCTTTGCTTTTCGTTGCTCTCATCTAGTTTCCTACCTAACACTGCCGTCAGCAACCACTCGTCGCCGGGATTGATTTGAGGAGCAGAGATCGGCATTGAACCCCTGGAAACGGTAATCGTGGTTCGATCTGTCCCGAGGGGTCCAAGTTTTGTGATAATTTCAGCATCACTGAGGTTGTGATTCTCTGTTAGTCCAGCCACCGCAGCAAATATCATCTATATGCGTTGATTTTTATACAAATACTAATGCTTACTATACTTGTCTATCAATGGCTAGGGGTTGGCCCAAGTTAAACATGTTATCTTAAGCGTAACTCCTGTCTTCTTGTTCTCGGCTTTCAAAGCAGATCGCAATGAGTGCCCTCCAAGGAAACTGGGTGGTTTCGAAATTATGAATTATGAAATAATTCATATCCTGAATCTATGTAGAAAATTTCGTTGAGGTACCGTTCCAGTAGCTTCTTGGGTTCTTTTGTTTTGTATAATGTCCTCAAGTGCCGAATACTCTTATGATCGTGTTTCCATACCTAAACCTAGCCAATAATAGAAAGGGATGATACCACTTCGCTTGCCCATATCTTTCTTGCAGCTTAAGATCTGGAGCACAACCACAACGATGCTGAAATATTCGCAAAACTTGGATCTTAGGCGAGATCGAACCATAATCCTTTCCAGTGGCTCGCGTATTACGCACTGCACCACGGAGACCCTTGCTTTGCGTTTCTCTCAACTGGTATTCTACCTAACGCTGCTGTCAGCAATATAAGGATTGTTGGAAAGTTTTGGAATAACTGCTTCACTGATATTTCGTTTTCAGTTCAAAAATCCATGATATATCTGATAAGGTTGCTATATATGCTGTTCACAAGTTTGACGGATCATTCCGTTTATCCACACTTTACTCTTGTGTTCTGGCTGTTCTTCATTTCCATCGACATCAGTCGAAGCGTTTTCTCACGAGTTTTGCTTTCAAAGTACTAACGATAGATTATCTTTATTCGTCCAGTGAACTCGTTAGAGTTTTGCATTGTTTGTTTTCTTTGACGACATTGCAATAAAGTTAGTTTGGAGTTTTTCATTTCTTAAGTATCACACATCCATTTTCTAGACTAAAGACAATGGACCGTCCTCGCCGAAATGTCCAGACTGGCTTTTCTAGTGTCCTACGGCTGAGTCGAACACCTTTTCCGTCTGTTAGTAGCTATATCGCAATCAGTTTATTCATTTCATTTATCGCCCTCGCTAACGTCTTGAGTGTATTCAAGTCTCAACCTGAGGTTAGTTTAATCATTTTGGGAATAGTTTTGACGTGGAAGGATATTTTCCTTCCAGTCACTTTTTGTTTACAGCCTATTCTTTTTTTTCATGGCAGGGTGTGGTGTCAAATGTAACCACAGTGATGCTGAGATATTTATTTATATGTTCTTATAAACTGATCTTTAGCTGATGCGAGGTTGGTATAGGTTTTCGTTGTTGTTGTTGGTGGTGTTGTTATTCGATGGTCTTCCTCAGAGCCTAGACGTATTTTATATTGGAATACTTTAATTATTCGGTAAAAAAAAGGCTAAAGTATTAATGAAGGTCAAACGTTTAAATAGATGCAATATTGAACAGAAAGGCTAGAAAGAAAGAATACCTAGAAATAAAGTAGCTCTGAGGAAGGCGAAATCGCCGAAACGTCAACCATCGACCAACAACACCAACGGCAACGATAACGAAGACCTATGCCAACCTCGCATCAGCTAAAGAAGATCAGTTTATATGATCGTGTAAATAAATATATCAACTATCTATGCCGAGGTTTATACAAAGTCGGTGTTTTGGGTTATTAAGATGCTGAGATATTTGCAAAACCCCGGATCACAGACCTCTGCTGTGGGGATCGAACCTCGTTACTATCCTTCCGGGGGTAACGTGTTCACCACCACCCCATACAGGTTCTTCGTTTCGCCTCTCTCTCGGGCGTTTTTCAACGTACTGGCGCTATTTACCCTGTTAATAACTTTCAGATTCGAGCGCTCTTACGGGAGGAAATACTAAATAGCTCTCTAGCGTTCACATATGATTCAAAAAATTTGGAGTACCTTTCTTCTCTTACTGTTGTTCAACTTCTTCAGTATATAAAAGGCAACAGTCCTCTTATTTGGGTGAGTACTACTCGATTCTTGTGTGGTCGTTGTTTATGTTTTCTCCTGATTGCGCTACTTCTTATTTCAGGTTTCTATTAACACGTATTTTGCTCTCCTTGCAATTCTTGTCAAATTTTTGGTTAAACTAACGTTTAAAGAGCTTACTCGTCAAGAAGAGGTTATTGCACGTCACGGCTTCTTATCCTTCCTCATGTTCAGGTCTATTCCCTCTTTCTATGTCATCTAACTCTTACTTTCCTGTTATTCTAAATAGACTTTTGTTAAAGCAGTAGTACTCTGAAGTATTTTAGCGTCGTATTTTTGTCTGTTGTGGCCGGTGCTCATCAGTCCCATCGAGTCTTACCGTGGCTAATATGGTTCGGAATTATTGGATTTATGACAGTTCTCCATGATATAACGTACCAGCGATTCAAGTTTGTAAGTAAAATTCCATTTTGTTCTTTTATTAGCTGTTTGTCGCGTTCATCTACAATTTGGTCTACTTACTTGCATACTTGGATGGTCCGTCTTCACTGGTCGTGCGGACCCCAGCACAATCTCTATTTTGTCGGAGTTGCTGATTTATACGTTACGGCTCCTTGGAGTCGAGAGCCTGGCCAAAGCCTGCCCCAGGTCGTCACCACCACAAGCAGTCGCATCCTTCGTGGAACGGAGGGGAATTTGCCATCATGCAACTAATTTGATACCAGGATGGTGGTGGATCCTGGTATTAGTTTACTCTTATCTGTGCTTCTTGATGGAAACGTCGGACTCGTTTTCAGCTTGGGAGACCCTACTGGGGGAATGAATCCCATCGCTGCACATCGCAGCCCGTCACCCAGGAACACCTCCCAGCCACAATGAGGCGGTAAACCGATGGTGCTGATACAGTACCGTTTTCTTAAAACGTGTGTCTATCCTCTTTGTTTGCCGATGGTCGTTTCTTTTCACTTCACATTCAAGTGTCATTCATTTTGGAAGTCTTCTTTGTTGAGTCAAATATGAAACATATCTAATTACATCTGAAAAATCGAAAAACAAGGATCATGACATACTAAGTTTTGCACAAGCCTTTCTGCTTCTGTCATTATGTTGGATTACACAGAGGTTCTTTTAGGTGTCGTCATCTATGGGCTCATCCGGTGGTCGATTTTCTTGGCTATGCTTCTTTCTCAGTGCATTTTCCATGACTTTGATTTTACTGATATTTAAGTTTCATGGGCAGATAAACCTCAACCACATGCTCTTCCTTCTTGTGGATGTGAGTTTTAACGTTTTTATGAAGTTATAAAATTAATTTCACGGCAATGTAGATCTTCATTTCCATCTTACTGATTAAGTTTATCTTAAACTAACACCTGGTCTCCATGCTTCCATCTCTTAGACGTAGACTTCATTGAAATTTGCTTTTTTTTTTTTTTTGCAACACTTCGAGGTTTCAAGGCTGGGTGTTTTCGACTAGTAGGGTCATTCAAATTACCGTTTTTGTTCTAAGGCAGTGATTCCCTGAAACATTTGTATTACTGGTCTAGGCTTTAATATCATTGCTACGTTCTCTTCACGGCTTATTGCGCTGTCTATCGTCATCTGAACGTTTCGCCCATAGTCCTGACACTGTGCGTCACTTTAACTATTGGCTTGATCTTTCGGTTACTCTTGCTACAGATGCAATCCAGCTTTTAAATTATGTAAGTTTCGGAGTGCTCGAAATTTCGCTAGAATTTTGACTTGTAAATCGTCGAAATATGTTCTGGGTTTTGTGTGGTAAACAGTTGGCTCAATTTCGCCGTCGTTCATTTTTCAGTTTTGTTTTGCAAAACCACTACATATTTTGAAACTGGATTTTTTAGACCCATTTGATGTTCATGTCTCCGCTTGGGTTCAATATAACGTGTTTCTTTTTTTTCTACCACATCAAGAATGCATACAGGTTTGTACAGAGTTAACGACTATCTTTTTAGTTGTTTTTCGTTTTAGCTATGATGGCCTTAACTCTCTACTAGTATTAAATAATTTAGTTCAATTATAAACACACTTGCTCGACATCGCAAGCACAATCAGATTTTTCTGCATATCCAATCGACCTATCCAGTCGAAGAGGCCGAAGAAAGGGATTTATGCATTGGTATTTTTCATATCAATTATAAGTAAATACATGCTCGTCTCTTTAGTAATCCTAGTTTCCTCCTGTTTTTTCGATTATGTGCCAGTAGAACTGTGTAATGTTTCTTTTTTGCTTCTGCTCAATATGTTCAACTCTTATGAACTTATTGGAAACCAGATGCTTTGTTTAATGAATCCGCCGCTGTTTTTCAAATCTTATGGTATTTAAGATTATCTGCAAAATTTGCACCAATGTCTTGGAATTATCTCCTGCCTAGTCCTACTTCTCTCGACCGAAGTTTTTCTTTCCTTTTCTTTATTTAATATGCTTTTCAGTGTGTTGGGAGAAACTGGGATTATCTCGTCGTTTGCCATGTGGTCACCAATTTCATGATTGGTGCCTGATGTGGTGGCTAGCACAAGACGGATCTTGTCCGACTTGTCGCCGTGCAATTTCTGCTCCACCTCTAATGAATCCGCAGCCATCCATAATCCCTGGTTCAACGACTACTTTTCGATTTGGCGGAGGGTAATTATATAGCTTTTGAGCCGTTTCGGATTTTCTTGTGTTGACATTTCTGTACTTTTACGGGGCGTTTTTTCTCTTGTTTCAGGTTTGGATTCCTTAGACTTCCGTCGTTTTCCATCGAATTTTCTACTGGAACATCTGCCCTAAATCCGTTTCTCAGGCGACGGACCCAAAACGACGATTCACAGTTGATAGGCATGGCAAATCAGGTTGCGGCTAACTTTTTCTAAGAATTTTCTTTCCCACGTCGAACTAACGTTACTTTAGGTGCATGAAATGTTTCCACGGATATCAATTGACGTTATTATGGAAGATCTGCGTATTAGCGGTTCATCACAAGCTACTATAGACAATATTTTAGAAGGCCGTATCGGATTTATGGCTGAAATTGGTGGAAACAATGTGTGTTCATTTAATGGTTGAGGCTGAACTGTTGTAGTTCATGTCGTTAGTGTTCATGTGTAGCTTTCTGCCTTTTTTGAAATGAATTTGCAGGATGAATTGCGTCCATGGGGGATTAACGAGATGACAGAAGATAACAACGAGTTATTGTTCGACGATGACGATGACAGTAGTGGTGATGACGTTGTATCATCTTCTGATTCAACCTTCACATCCTCTCCACCTCATCACTCAGCGTCGACTGATTCTGTCGTCACTCAACCCACTACGGGAGACGTATCACAATACCAAATTGCTAAAAGAGATATGATCGCTAAATATAGGAGGTAATTAAAATAACTTATGTTATTCAATGGGGCGCACAAAGTGCAGTAGTTAGAGGTTAACCTGCAGTGCACATGGATTGGGTCCCGCACCCCAGGTTCACCAACCCCTCCAACCCTCCGTAGTCGGGAAATTAGTACCGAACTTGTCTGGGAGTATGGTAGCACTTCCTTGATACATCGGCACGTTGTCGCAAGTGAATGTTTAGTCCGCATGTGTAATAACGTTGCTTAATGAGATCAAGTGCATGGCGCATCACTCAGGGATTGATCAATGCTGGGAGGTTTATCCTTTATCTTTTATATCCTTCAACACAACTCAGTAGTATCGGAATAGAATGCGTGGTACCTCCACTACGACTGGTACCGTATAGCAGTTGGTCGTTTTTGGTCATTGTAGACACAAATGATCAATTGAATTGTACTCAGTGCAACTTAATTTCCTTGTTTTCTTACGTAATTCAGTTGACGTATTAATTTTCTTCAGGCGGTACATTGAGTCAGAGAAAGGACGAGATCTCCGCGAAAGGGCTCTTAATGACTAGAATTGCTGTTTCGCATTTATAATTTCTTTCATTGTTTTTAGGCTTTCAATTCGCGTATTACAGACTAGTACCTCTTCCTGAAAATCTGTCTCAGAAGAGGTAAATTCTCATATTTCTTGGATTATTTTCGTGCTGTAGTAGATCTTATGTACATAGTGTGTTTAATTCCATCTCTGTATATCTACTCCTCTTCAATGTGTGATCTATTCTGATTCGGTTACGTACCAATAATTCATCATGTTAATGTTTTTATTAATTTACTGTGTATTTTGGCTAACTCGCTAGAATAGCTCTTACCGGTTGTAGCATAACAATAATGAGTGTACCATTTTTCGTCAAATACTGCGTTTTATTACTCTGTTGGTTGGTTTTCACCTAGTCCAGAGTAAGTACGTGTCAGTGCTTTGTTCTCTGCTGTAGTTATGATTTATTCGTGATTCACAGCTGTCGAAATTTGGTCTCATTCCTTCTTTTTTTTTGAGAAGAAAAGAAGTAGTTAGAAGTATAAATTGACCATTAACAAAGTGAAGATGAGAAGCGTCATATCATTTTTGAAAGTCCCGAGGAATTACGTGAATCTTGCTGTCGTCTAGAAGGGCTTTTAACTCACTAACTAGCTAAGTGGTTTTATCCCGGCATTTAAATCAACTCTACGGAATCCTGTGTCTGTTCTTGAGCTCGTTTGTTCTGTTCGAGGAAATACGAACCACCATCAACATCTGGATATTTGTTGGGAGTTTGACCCAAGCGTTAGTTTTTCATTGTCTTAGCTGTGAATCAAATACATACGCTTTCAAGCCCTCTGTGAATTGTCGCTAAATGCTTGTAGTTATTTGCTGAACTGGGTGTTCTACCTCTGAAATAGTAAAGAAATCCATTCACTGTGTGAAGAGAAAGAGCAGAATTACAAACAGCGATTCGTATTTCAATGACGTCATAGCTAATTATGTTTGATGCAAAAGCAAAGGTATGGTGAAAATGCCTACGAGCATATGCAAAGCAAGTTATTAAATGTAATTGCTAAAATTCCACCAAGCAGAACAAGAAAGCTGTAAAGGAGAGAGGACCTTTATTCCTAGCTGTCGCGTGCAGGAGCATCCCAGTGGATTCTGCTCATTCAAAGGACTCGTTGAGAATCATACGTTTCTTCTAGGATTCTCGAGAAGAACTCTGACCATTTGGTCGGCGGTCCTCCTACAGTGCATTTGACATTCCGGAAAATCAATTCGCTAACGGCTCTTGGTTGTCGTTCATACGTATTAGGTGTCTAGCTCACTTTATCTTCGACAGTATGGCATGTGGAATGGCGTTTTTGGTTTTTGATATTTGACGTAGGTCGAGGCTTCAGATCCCTTCCCTCAGTTGCGTAACACTGGATACTCCGAGCATCGTCCTTTCTTCTACGCGTTCAATAACGCTGAGTGATCTTTCATCCTGGTTACGCAGCAAACCTGTTTCTTACGTTAGGGCAGTAAGAATCGTGGACTCGAAAAGATGGGTACGGAGTCATGCGTTCTTTATTCACTTCACAATATGCTCGATGCTCTTGAGAGCTCACCAAGCCGCTTGATTCCTCCTGTTCAACTTGAGTTAAGTCATCATGTTGAATTCTCGACCCACATATACATAGCTAGAGCACTGGGAGATATCATAGTATTGAGCATGAAAGGGGCATACGTAACCAATCCGTTCCTCATGAACATCGTTTTTGTGGGATTTAGTCGAAGATCAGTCTACAAGTCTTATCAAAATCGGCAAACATTTATTGCGCTTGGCTTCTTTGTTATAGTTGTGAGAACGTGTTTGGTGTTATAAGAACGATGTCATCAGCAAAGCGAAGATAGTGTAATTGCCGCCACTTCCATGTTGCCCCATTCCAACGTGCGCATGATGTTCTCGAGGGTGGTGGTAAATAATTTTGGCGAGATGGTATCGCCTTGTCTAACCCCTCTTTTGTTCTGTATGTTAATAACGTTGTAGAATGGTGATATCTTGGTTGTGAAATTTTTGTACAGCTCACGAAGGGTCTTTATATACTGAGTAGGAACTCCTTGACTATCAAGGACTTTCACGACTGCTATCTGACTGAGTCAAAAGCTTTCTATAAGTCGATGAAAGTGAGACAGAGCAGTCTCTTGTGCTTTGGCGATAGTTCGATGAGTCTTGTCATCGTGTGGATGTGATCCACCGTACTGAATCCCTTTCGAAGCACTGCTTGCTCAAATGGCTGTCCTTTGCCCAATATTCTGTGAATCCTGTTAAGATGACTCATGTGGGAAGTTTGTAGATGAAGACAGTACGCAGATTGGGCGATAGTTGACGATACGATATCGTAGAGGTCACCATCCTGAACAATAGCGCTGTCTTGCTGGTCTTCCTTCGAATAACAACCTTGCATTCAGACAGGTAACCTGTGAAGAGCGAGCCAGTGTGTTTACAAGGACTGGCGGAGCGTTCTTCAGGTGTTCAGATCTTATACTGTCGGGACCTGATGTTATTCGACTTCCCACCGACGAAATAGGAAGTAGAATTCCGGAAGGGAGAACCGTTGGTACGACATATCCATCCTCCTTTATTTCATATAAAGGCAGAAGGACGTGGCTATTGACGAGATCTGAGTGATACTCGTAAATGATTTTCTTCATGGCCTTTGTGGACACTGTAACTGTAACATCACGGCGTCGGAATGCAATGATTTTGGTTTTGTTATTGGTGAAGTTTCGCTCGATTTTGCGAGGGCTTTTTCCAACCTCTGCAGCTTCGACCATAACTGCTGCTCTTTTCTCTTCTAGATATACTTTTATCGCCGATCTGCATTATTTGCCAACGGTGGCATATCATCTCGAGTGTTTTTGGAAACGGACGCCTCTTGGTGACTTTCGAACTCTCAACTTTCATAGAGCTAACATGAAGATGTAGGGCGCGTGTTGGTGGTTGGTGGTTGGAGGCGCCACTGTGACACACACGTGACACACGATCCCAGCGTCCATGGCCCACCAAGCCTGCCATCTCTCCGGGGTTGGTAAATTGGTACCAGACCTGTCTGGGAGGATAGCAGCACTGGCTCGATACATCGGTAGGCCACCGCGTATCATTGGAAAGGCCAGATATGCATTCAATCACCTCCAACGGTACTTAATGAAGTCGAATGCATGGCGGATCCCTCAGGGATTGATCAACGCCGAGAGCTTTATCCTTTTATCCTTTTTAACATGAAGATGTTGGATGAGTCGATCGTATTCCTCGTCGATATTACCGAGAACGGCATTTCCCCGTCAGCCGACTAATGAACTGATTAAATCCCAGTTTGTGGTGGTTTTAGTGTTTAGTTTTTGAATTTAGCGGCTTTTTCTCCTTTCCGCGAGAATTGAAATCTTGTACTAAGGAGGCGATGGTCTGATCCTAGGTAGAATTTCGTGACAACAGCGACATGGGTTAGGTAAAACCTTGGATTTACTATGATATGGTCTGTTTATTCCCACCTCCATCGTTTAAAGTGGGGCTCCTGGAATTGCGGGTTACCATGAATACTTTTGGTCGTCATGGTAACTCAGACAATCGCTGACCCTGTTCGTTCCATTCTAACCCGTGAGTCCTAATGTGATGTTCTTCTGGGCCCAGCCGTAGAGTTAAAGTCTTCAATGATGGCATTAAAAAATGTATGGCCTTTTCTGTAGAACTTCTCCAAGTCCCTACAGAACACCCTACTTCGTCTTCCTCGTAGCTTGATCTCGGCGGGCGAGTAGGCAACGAATAAAGCCGGTGTTGAACCACATCTCTTAGTTTTAAATATGCCATTTGAGTTGTTAGTTGTTCGAATGAATCGATGTTCCTAACCAAACTCGTGTTGACAGGGGCGCCGACGCCGTCGACCTTTCCGTTGTTGCATGCTGTAAGGAACAGTTCTTCTACGCTGTTATAGGCGACCCTGAGATTTTAGCAGCCTCTCCGTACTCGTCCTACCCAACGTTGCCAAATCGGGGGCCCCATTCGGGGTTAGGGGAATGAGGTCCGTTTCATTTACTGTTTTTAGCTTTTTTGATATCCATGTATACCTTGGTGGATTCTGAACGTGGAGACTGGGTATGCTCACGGGTAGCTTGCCAGTCTATCCCAGACTGGGCATGGAGTCTATTTGCTGGAGGCGACTCTTAACTGCCCTCCACATACTTCGCTGTCACTTGATTGCAGGCTTTTGGCCAGAGTGACTTGTGGAATACAATTCGCATAAACGGGGACGCACCCACACACGTACGCGTGAATGGGCCATCGTAAACGCAGAAAGTATGTGCCAGATCGCCGCAGCAGAAACAGGGAGTCAATCCACTGGGTCAACCTGCGTTTCAAGGAAACAAAAGTCGCTTTTGGTCCACAATTAGCTCTCTAGCCGCCACCTTGGAATGCGCCACTTTGCCTCGCGACTTACTGTGATGGGATCCCTGTGTGAGAGAGGTCCATGGTTGTCATTATAGCTATTCAATATCGTGCTATTGTGATCTGTGCCACCCCTAGGATGTCTTGAGAAATCTATAGGTGATAATGGGCTATTGTGTATCAACCTTCTTTTACTCAACTACATTCTGGCCTTCTAGTACTGTGTCAAAATAATGCTTGATGAGATTAGTAACGTAGGAGAAAGCGAGCCTGCAGATCAATCATGGGAAAATGCAAATCATGAACAATTTCTAATGTGGAGGAGAGCAGATTGTCCTTATTGCTAATTCAATGTTTTTCATCAATAAGCAGACACGAGGTTGTTAATATAGAATTTATTAGAACACAATTGCTGACGTTTCGGCGGTTTCGCCTTCTTCAGAGCCTGGAAAGGTCAAATTGAGATGTGATCTACTCAGCCAAACACTTTCACAACCCCAGCAGATAAAACTTGACAATTCGATTTGCATTCGCATAAGAAACAGCTTCATTCAAACACCTACCGTTTATTTGTTGTAAGTATTTAAGTTAGTTGGTGGATAGCCGCCGCACAAAGTAATACATGGTCGATAACTGTGTCCATGTCAGGTCATTGGATCGGCCTGAGGTATGGCGCCAGGTCACGCGTGATGACAAGACACTCCTCCTTGCGGTTCATTTTTGAATTTTTGGCATTGATCCAAAAGGCTTCAAGAGTTTTACGCGCTGATGTTTTCGATTCCTGCGTAAGGATAGTGACTCCTACCTCAAAATCTTCTCCGTTGTGTTCTTGCATCCTATGCGCGCCTAGTGGAGTATTTTGTTTTAGTTTAGATTTACCGACTAGGTGTTCTTTTATGCGGACGCAGAGCGGTCTACCCGTTTCGCCAACATATTCGTGCCCGCACGCTTTACAAGAGATCAGATAGACTGTACCCGAACTCATGTCCTTATTGCACCACTAATTGAGGTGTAAGTCTTCTACGGGCGGCTGGAATATTTAAGAGGTATTTGCAACGAATTGAAGAAAAACAATGCAAAGCGAGCACCGTGGTCTCGCTTCCATCCTTTAAGAGAAACCGCTGATCAGCTTGTTGCGCATTGGCAACGTTCAGACTTATTTCAAGCAACTCCTCTTCCAAGCTTTGATTTTCAGCATAGACAGAGACTGATATTTCGACCAAACGTGGGAAATCTGTGGTAATACATTGGCATGTCAGCAAGGTAGACCAGCGAACTCAACATCAAGCCTGACTGCACCTTTTTTATCTTCGAAAAATGTCTTGTCTTCGGGATCCAGCGGAATGTTTCCAGAAGAGTTAATGCGAATGCTATGGGGCTCATGTAATAAGAGAAGTATAAACCAGCAGTATTCACAAACTACCCACGTCTGCTGATTTAGGTTGCGAAACAAGAGACGAATGAAGGAAGTATGATCTGCACAGCGTATGAAGCACCTAGGTAGATTGGATGAATGCTCTTCATTCGGCGGTGAAATAGAAGGACACTCATGATTTGACCACCTTTGCGACATCATTATATAAATTAAAATAAGTAACTCGTATATAATGCTGAGATATTTGCAAAACTCCGGACCGCAGGTGTCTGCGGTGGGGAACAAACGCGCTATTGTCCTTACCGGGGAGTAGCGTACTTCACCACCACACCATCCGGGTCCTTTGTTTTGTCCGTCTCTCAGCTAGTTCTATCGATTTTTTGCCATCAGCAACCACCCGTCAGTGGGATTGATCTGGAGAGTCCAAATCGGCATTGAACCCAGTTAAGCTGAGGTTTAGTTATAATCACAATCTTAACCCTTGTTACTGCCTTTTTCTTTTTAATGGCAAAGATCAATAGAACTAGCTGAGAGATAGGCAAAGCAAAGGACCCGGATGGTGTGGTGGTGAAGTGCGCTACTCCCCGGTAAGGACAATAACGCGTTCGTTCCTCACCGCAGACACCTGCGGTCCGGAGTTTTGCAAATATCTCAGCATTATATACGAGTTATATTTCGCAACATACCCTGCCATTAAAATGAAAAAGGCAGTAAGTAAAAGGGTTAAGATTAAAATAAGTAACTTATGTCAAATCGATGACCAGTCGAGTAAGATAGATTTCTTATACTGGGCTAAAATTTTAGGTATGCTATTCGTCGTCTTAATTAGTAATACAGCAAAAGACTAATAAAAAGAACTTCAACTGTAATGGAAATAGAAGGATAAAGCATGAACCATTCGGCGTTGATCAATCCTTGAGGGGTCCACTTAGCTTCATCAAGAATCGGTAGAAATGATTGAATGCATATGCTCCTTATACAGTGATTTGCGGTGACTTACTGATGTATCAAATCAGTGCTTTTGTCTTTCTAGAGAAGTCTGGTACCAATTTCCCGACCCTGGAGGGATGGAAGGCTTGGTGAAATCCGAGGGGCGGGCTCGAACCACGTGTGCATGACAAGGCATCTCTAATCACTGCGCTGCACATTCCCAGAAATGGAAATCGTACATCACAAATTAAAATCCACGATTGCGCAATGTTCATCATTTTCTTTAGCGCATAGTCCAAATTATACCCAGCGATTCTCGTCAATTCGAACAACAACTGGACAGAATTCCAAACGTTTTTCTTTAAGAGAATGAGGAGTATCTCACATGTGAAAAACGTTACGTATTTGACCAGTTCTGCTTCATCACCATCCTAAGCGGCAGTTCTATGTTTAGAGTATTCTGCTAGTGAAAAAAGAAACAAAGACGGAAGCATTGTGGGACATGGTGTACATCGACATGGACAGCATTGTGAAAAGGCAGGATATAAATCATATAGTGCTTTGGCAACCTAGTAGGCAGTAAGCATGAAACCAGCCGCATGTCGACATGACGGTGTGATCGAGAGAAATTCTGGAGCCCAGAAAATACGGTGATAACGACGATCCTGAAAGGAAAAACTGTTCGAGGGCATTGTATCTAGTTTGGGAATCACGATAGTGCACGTTCGATTAATTCAACTAGATCAATTAGTACAGTATATGAAACGAGGAGTGGTTCTTCCTGTTGCTGGTCAACTTTTTCGGGAGGGCATGCTTACATAGATATCTACGTCACTGATTATAACTACAGTCACTTCGTTACTCTATTTGAGTCCAGTCAAGGGTCTCAACACTCCAGGATATCCTCACTAATGGAGGCAGAGTCAAGGAAGCAGATATCGCAAATCTTAAGACAACAATAAGAATGAAAGCAGTAAGGATCCTAGTGGTTGGCATCTAGAAACTCCAAGTAGAAAGTTGTTTGGGAGAAAATTTGAAAACTTGCACTCGAATAGACGGTGGTGGAGACTACAAACTACGTAGAGTTGTTCAGTGTACAATTGTGTAACGAGTTTCATACGTCTCATTAAGAATCACACCTCAGCAGGCCGATAGTCAGGAGGGTGTAGGAACGGAGCAATGTAGTCGAGGCCGCAGGCTCGTCCACGCCAATATCGGAAGTAGTTCTCGAATCTGAATCAGATTTCACTCACATGCAAGTTGTAGGACTCTTCGAGATTTATACTTCATATTCGATCATGTTTCTTAAGTGAACATGGTGTTTTATTTTTAGAAAGAGCTATACAACTTGAACAACATTTTGATTTGCTGTAGAAAATATGAAAACTTGGGAAAAATGCTAAGAAGTAAACTAGAACATTTCGAAACCGACTTTCCCTGAACCTCGGTGTCACTAATCAATATGTATTCTTTCTTTGATGAGCTTACACGAGGTTGATAATGATGTTTATTTTCGGCTAACGTTTCGACGTCTTCGTCTTCCTCAGAGCCGATGATCCGAGTCGATGGTCCTCGCTTCTGCACGATGTGCGCAATGATGTATGTCCGGAAGAAAAACAAGTTGTTATCACCGGACATTATTATTATATCGACTATCAGCATCGTGTATAAAAGGGCATCACTGAGTGAGGATGCCCCATTCGAGGAGATGGCTCACTGAAGAAGACCTAACTCGACACGAAGGCGAATAACAAGCGAGGACCATCGACTCGGATCATCGGCTCTGAGGAAGACGAAGACGTCGAAACGTTAGCCGAAAATAAACATCATTATCAACCTCGTGTAAGCTCATCAAAGAAAGAATACATATAAACTAGAACAGTTCTCAGGATCGACTTTCCGTTAACCCCGGCACTGGATTATAAATTCGTCATTTTTTCTCTCAGCAATCGCAAGGCTGTTAAAGAGCATACGTTTACTTCCATACAATACCACAACCGTGGCTGACATTTCAGCAGAATCGCCTTCTTCAGAGCCTAGAAGGGCACACTAATGAGCAACCTACTAGGTCAAACGCTTCAATAACACATACAGAAAGATGAGAATCTAAATGGCGGTCACATGGTCAAAAGCTTCTCGACAAATCCACCGTTTTTGCGTACTTTCCATTGAGCAAGGGCCGCTGATCAGAGTCGCATATGGTTGACGACTGCACCTCTCCACATCAACGATCGATGCGAAGGTATAAGGCGAGATTGCATGTGATCTCGGGACATTCCTCACTGATGTTCATTGTAGGGTTTTTGGCATTTATCCAAAAAGCCTCAAGAAGCTTGCGCGTTGGTGTTTTGGCATCCTGTGCTAGGATAGTAACTTATATCAAAATCGTCTCCACTATGCTTTTGTATCCTATGCGTGTCTAGTGGGACATTTTGCCTTGCTTTTAGTTCGCCATCTAGGTGTTCTTTTATGCGGTACATAAAGGTCTGCCCATTTCACCAACACAGTGATCTCGCCCTATGTCTTCGCATCGATCGTTGATGTAGAGAGGTGCAGTCGTCAATCATATGCGACTCTAATCAGCGGCTCTTACTCAGTGGAAGGCACGTAAAAACGGTGGTTTTTGAGAAGCTGAGATGAGATGGTGATGCTAAGATGTTCCTTCGTTTTCCCAACATCCAGCTGGCGAGGAATAATCACGAACTCTCACCTCTTATCACTAACTGACAATCTTATTGTTTTCGAGTTTGTTAATTCTCTAATTTCCCGCTTGCCACATTTTTGTGCGGCTGTAAGGTTAGAGATAAACCTTCTATCGCGGTAGTGATTAAGAGCCTTGAGAATACTGCCCAAAAACGTGAGGAATTTCATGTCAATTCCGTCGTTAGGGTCCTGCCGTCTAAAAAACGTTCTAGGGGAAAAAGATGGCGGTAATGCCGCCGCCTCTTGAATTTAGCTTTTTTTTATATTCATTGTTTAGCTTGATAGCGGAGTCGATTTTGAAGCTCATAAAGGTTGCATGCCATCCTACGCAAGGTTGTTTTAGAAATGGGCTGTGATGGTGAAAACTTGGGCCGAATTCTAATACCAAGCGCGCACTCTCAAGTATTGTCATGCCCCCAATTTTGACTCCTAGGAAAGTTCGTTTGTCTATGGTTTCTTGAAGCTGAGACACGCTAATTATTCACCAGATTCTCAAACTTTCGCTGCTTACCTTCATATCGATCGTTGATGTGGGAAGGTGCAGTCGTCAACCATATGCGACTCTGAGCGGCTCTTCTTCCTCGGTGAAAGACAGGTGGAAAAAGCGGTGGACTTTTTGAGAAGCCATAGGTCTTGTAATAATCGTGCAGATTTTCATCTTTCCTGTTTGTGCTGTTGAAGCGTTTGATATACGTATTAGTGTACCCTTCCAGGCTCTGAGGAAGGCGATTCTGCCGAAACGTCAGCCACGGTTGTGTTGTATGTGTTATTTTATGGAAGTAAACGTATGCTGTTTAACAACCTCGCGATTGCTGAGAGAAAAAACGACGAATTTATAAACTAAAACAGTTAAGTTTTCTATCAGATAATTCTATTGAAACAAGAGATTTCAGTTTCTGTTATAGCTTTTATCATTTATTTCGGAATTTTGTTTTTAATTTTCGCTTTGTTATTTGGTTCATTTAGTCTCGTTTTTATTATTTCATCTATTTTGTCGTATTCCTTTATTTCTCTTTATTGCAATACGTACGTGAAAGGGGCACTGGTAGCGTAGTGGTCGGAGGCGCCGTGCAATACATACGGGATCAATTCCTACGCCACAGGCCCACTAAGCCTACCATTCCTCCGAGATCGGCAAATCGGCACCAGACCTGTCTGTGAGGATAGCAGCACTGTCTCGATACATTGGTAGGCCACCGCGAGTCATTGTAAGGACCATATATGCATTCAATCACCTCCAACGATAATTAATGAAGTCGAATGCACCGCGCATCCCTCATTGATCAACGCCGAAGGCTTCATCCTTTCTCCTTTATACGTACGTTAAACCAAGAACTGTTAGTAATTGCGATACGTTTTTCGTACTTAAGTGGTCCGAAAAAGAGGAACTGAAAACTCGAGACGTAAATTTGCAGTGCTTTTTGGAAGCTGCTGAAAAGAACCTTGTAGACTTAGGTTTCTATCGATTACTCATTACCTAGTAGTTGATGTCGGCAATGTGTAGCACCTTCTAAGCATTGGTCGTTCCGGTATACTGGGTTTCAAGGATGGTTGTAAAGGTCTACGGGAAAGCAGAACTTGATGACTGAAAGCAAAAAATTTTTGTCTGTATTCAGTTTTTTGTAATACTAACCACCACAACCACAGTAATCTTTTTTAATGCTTCTTCTTTAACCCACGTTCTATCGCGTTCGACAAGCCACTCGCCTTGCTTCGGTCTGTAAGCCTTGTGCGGCACCAGTTCATACGAACAAGAACGATTTCTGTAAAAACCTGGACACAAAATACAAGTCAATATTCAATCTCCTTTCTTCTTCTTGAATTCAACTTTTTTCAAAAGTATTTTCGGTGAAATAGGGTGGTAAGAACGACAATAAAGGGTGATTTCATAGAAATACCAAGTGTATTATCCACACTTGGATTGAAATAAAGAAACAAATACGTATATATTGATGAATAAACGTATTTAACGAAAAAGATAAACAAGAAAATATATTGGGGGAAATATAGAAGCAGAGGTTCAGAGGAGAGTCGGAGGAAATATGTAGAGATAGAGAGAAAAGGAGGAAGAAATGGTGTCATAGAAAGAGGCAGAGACGGAGAGTTAGAGACAGAGAGAGCAAAAAAGGAAGAGAAATGTGAGAAACATTCTTTACAGTTGAATGATAGAATGTCAAGGATATTTACTGCAAGCATGCACACACACACACACACACACACACACACACACACACACACACACACACACACACACACACGCATGCACACACGCATGCACCCATGCACACAACACGCGTAAATGCGCACACACACCCACATACGTGCACGCACACATACATTCGCATACCTACGCATACCCACATGTACACTGTCATGTACAAATATGCGATTCGGTGTACCATACTGAACAAAAAGGTGAAGAAAAGGTGGAATAACGAGATGACAAATTGAAAATGTGGAAAGAATCCACGTAATATTAGATTTTCTATTATATGTATATATATATCTGAAATAACCAGAAATAGCTGACCTTTTCGGGATACAGAGGCTTGGCGCTAGTGTAGTAAACATTCTTCGTTCTCTGAATGATCCCAGATATGGATGATACATCTCATCATAGCGAGAGTGTTTCGCATAATTGTAAGTGTTGTTTACGTTGTCAAAACTGTAAAAAAGAATCGGTTTTGTTTGCACAGAAGTTTATTTTAGTTAGAGATTTAAAATATTATTATCGAAGCGTTGTAGTAGAGGTACTGTACAATAATACGTGTAAGACCTTCGTTCGAAACCGTCTTGGCACAATCACGCCTGTCATCACTCATGGGTCGAGGAACTAATACTTCTCTGAGCAGAACTCCTTCATACACATGAATTCCGGAACCTATCGCTGTGTTGAAAGCATGAGAATGTCCTAGTATGACTATACCAAGTTTCAAGTGAGAATCGACTCGATTAGCATTTAGTGAGACTTATAAGTTTATAAGGATAACCAAAATCTTTAAGCAGTAGCCGAACCGAAAAAGTAGATTTGTAGCCCGAGAAAATGAATAGAATGGAAAGAAGTGCCGTGATTCGCGCAATATGTGTTGTCAAGTGTTGTAATAAAATTAATGTAAGAATGGGCTTTGTAAAGTGCTAAATCTGAAAATGATCGCTGCAGTTTGATGTTTTGGCATAAATACTTTCTCATTTCCTATTGAAGTCTTAATGTGAGGAAAAATGGATTCTTTATAGCTAGTCATAATTTCTCAGTTTGTCTTCTAAAACTGATGACCTTACTGATAGGCTTCTTTTAAGTAAAAGGTAAAGAGAGCAACAGATAAAGGTGTTCTGTTCTCTTCTTTCTTTTCCACCTCTTTTCTCTCCCTTTTTCTAATTTCGTCCCTCTATTTTTTGCTCTAATCGTATTTTAGTTGCGTTTTTGTATTTTTGCCATGTTTTTAAGACTTATAAGAGCGACTTCAATAGCTTTTCATGAACATCGGAAGAGCTTAGGCGTTTCTTGTTTGGAACAGATGTGAAAAGACGGACAGCTGCTTTGCATCACATGGTTGTTTAACGAACGATGGCATGTTATTTTCCCGAAAAAAGATTCTTTATGAAGTGAGAAAAGAAAAATGAAACTGGAAAAATAGGCGATATCTTTACTTCGATGATGCTGAGATATTTGCAAAACTCCGGACCGCAGGTGTATACGATGGGGAGCGAACGCGCTATTGTCCTTTCCGAGGAGTAACGCGTTCACCCTGAGGAGCTCAAATCGGCATTGAATCCAATAAAGCTGAGGTTTTGGTTATAATCACAATCTTAACAGTTTTATTTACTGTCTACTCTTTTTGATGGCAGGGTATATTGCGAAATATAACCTCAATGCCATGAAAAAGAGTAGGCAGTAAATAAAACGGTTAAGATTGTGATTATAACTAAAGCCTCAGCTTAACTGGCTTCAATGCCGATTTGGGCTCTCCAGGGTGAACGCGTTACTTCCCGGAAAGGACAATAGCGCATTCGTCCCCCACCGCATACACCTGCGGTCCGGAGTTGTGCAAATATCTCGGCAACATTAAAGTTATGCTTCGCAATATACCCTGCCATCAAAAAGAGTAGGCAGTAAATAAAACGATTAAGATATCTTCACTCTACAAACAAAACAAAGTAGTACACAGGAAGTGCTTCTCTTGTCTCGTCGTCTCCCTCTCTTTCCTTCTCTCTTTTTTCTAAGTCATTGAACACGAGGTAAACAATAAAAGCCTTCGGCGTTCATCAACGCTTTATCAAAGCGTTGTGCATTCGACTCCATTCATGGCGTCGTTTAGGTGATTGGATATGTTTGGCCTACAAAATCCTTGCCGGTTTCTATTGATGTATCAAATCGGTGTTTTAGTCCTCCCAGATAAGTCCGATAGCAATTTGCTAACTCTAAAAGAGATGAAGGGCTTAGTTAGCACAGAGTATGAGAGAGATAGAACAAACAACTATATCTGTATTGCATAGCACCTCTAACAATAGCGCTACAGGCGCTCTGGGAATTCTAGGTAACAAATCGAAGTCACGTTGAGATTTTAGCCTCTGACGACTAACGGAAATAGCAATGATGTCGTAATTTGAGGCTTTCATAGTTAAAAGAAAGATTTTCTATGGCAAGTTTTCTGATAATCAAGAATGTTATTAACATGAGCATAGTCCTTTCCATTAAATCTGTTTCGATTCTTCTTTTTCCTTAATTTTTTTGAGTGATGCCATAAATTTCAGTTACAGAAGATGAGAACTACCTCGAAAGGATATAACAACAACATGTTCAAGGATTTCTACCACATAAATGGTCTCTGTTTCTTGTTCGTATTCAGCTTTTTCAAAAATGAGCGTTAAACTTTCCTATGAAATTGTTTATGGAGAGTTTCAAAATGGTAAAACTCCTCTATATCGGTAGTCTCAGAGATTTATAAAGGGCGTGTGTGACGCAGTGGTCGGAGGTGCCCTGCAACACACACGTGGAATCGATCCCCGCGTCTATGGCTCACCAAAAATTCCACCTATCCGGGGTTGGCAAATTGGTACCAGACTTGTCTGGGAGGAAAGCATCGCTGGCTCGACACATCGTTAGGCTACCGTGAGTCAATGTAAAGGCCAGGTACACATTCAATCGCCTCCAACGATTCCTAACGAAGTTGAATGCATGGCGCACCCCTCAAGGATTGATAAACGCCGAGAGCTTTATCCTTTCTATAAAGTAAAAGTAAGATTTTTTCAGCTTCTCGTGGTAATAACTTTTTCCTGTTTCTTGTGTTGACAGATCATTCAAGCGATTTTCTTTACATCGATTCAATTGCTCAACTCGCTATGTTTTCCACAGTATCGTTTAGATGTACATGTTACTACCTTACCACCGTATTGCTGCACTAGTGTACTCCCATATTACGGCGTCTGTCATTTCGGAGACGCTGAAGAGAGCTAGTTCTTAGGTGATATGAGTGAAGTACTTCAGCAACACCAACTACAATCATAGCATTCAGTTAAAGACCTTGACGTCAGGTGGCTACTTTACACAACAAGAGAAAAAACTCCCGATCTTCAATTTCCGTTGGGACATCATTACGTCATTTCTCTGTGAGAAAACTCATATGAGAAATAAGTGAAATAATGGGGAACTACTCTATAGTGGTGAAACAATGTTTCTATGAGTGAAAGTAAGAATTTTCTAGCATAGAGGAGTTTTGTGTAGGTGTTTTTGATAGTGGATTTCAGAGAAGTTTCTATATTTTCTTGAGTTACTGTGGAAATGACTATGCTTTGAGGGCGTTCTTTCATACAACAACAACAACAGCAACAACAACAACAACAACAACAACAACAACAACAACAACAACAACAACAACAACAACAACATTACCTGAATAAGATGCAATTCTAAGACCCTCAGACAGATTTGTAGCTCAGAAAACTGAGGAGTGAACAAGGAAAAATGGGAGAAATATAAGTCACAATGGCTGAATTGATCAGGTCTTATCCTTATGGTAAGCTTTTCAGTCTTTCTATTTCATTTAGCTAAAGAGAAGCATCTGGTTTTAGACTCTAAGAGATTTTACTCGTTTTTACCAGAAAGGTAGAATTTTTGAAGGAAAAAAAGGTTGCGTAATTGTGAATATCGTGGTCGTACACATTTTTGGTTGATTTTTCCTGAACTAAGAGAGATCTGCATGAAGGACATGTCTATGGTTTTGTTTATTTTTTAAAATAGTTATAGTTCAAAACAAGAAGAAAAACCGCCGTTTCAAGCTATTTTGTTTTTCGACAGTCCTTTAATAGTACTTGTAGACGTTAGACGACAAAGTTTAATTTCCAAGAACTAAAGAGAAAGAAACTAGGAAATGTCTCTCCTAGCTAAATGAACTAAACATACGCTAATGAAACGATTTCGTTGAACGTGGTAGTTGGACTTCCAACAATGAAGCCTTTGTAAGGAACTGCGCGCCATCGCGATTCTAACGCTTTTTCTTTGACCTGGAAATAATAGAAAGAGGTAGAAGTTAAAAAAAGAAGTGCACATAAACAAAAGATAACTCGTTCGCCGTTAATCAGTCTCTGAATCCAGGAATGAACTATGCTTTCGACTCCATTCGTAGCATCACTGAGGCACTTAAATGCATATTAGGCCCTTACCTGTGGTTGGCTACTCACATATCAAGACAGTGCCAGTGTTTCTATCTTGCCGGACAAGCCAAGTCTGGTACTAATATGCCTACCCAAGAGGAATGAAAGGCTTGCTGAGCCTAGGACGCAGCATCAAACCAACGATCGAACCTTTGTGTATTAGAGAGCACTTAACCAGTGTGGTCCTTGTGCGGCATAAATAAATAAACAATTAAAGAAATATCCCAATTAGATGCAAATCAGGTGGGGATAGCGCAGTGATTAGTAATGCCGTCGATCAAGAAGCAAAGGCGCCAGTTCGATCCTCGCCACAACGTTCTTCCAACCCTCTTGCGAATGGCTTAGTCTGGCTGTCTCCAAGATTGCAGGGAGAATCGGTTCGTCCAACATTCTACGACATTCATAAAAAGCGAAGTCCTCAGGTAGCAATCGAAACAACACGCGAAGTGTTTGAACGTGATCGTTGGGAAGCTGGGTGCCGGGAAAGGAATCGAATGCAAGATGTGCTGGGATCTGCACTATAGATGTGACGGCGGATTATGTAAAAAAATGAAAATCGAATAAAAATAGGGCCATATGTGAAATTTTACTTCCTTTCAGTGTTCTTCTTTTCAATGTCCTAACAGGAACTACTATTTCCATACTATAATGTTCTCCGTTATGTTCTTTATTAGTTTAATTTGCTTTTTTCTGCTTAATTCGGCTGAATTTTCGACGTCTTTCTCTTCTTCAGAGTTCGATTGATCTCAGTCGGTTGTACACAGGTAGTTCTCGCGATGTGAGTTGAAATACTCAGTCTTATAGCAAATTCTGGGCCCAACTTTCTCTTAGCCTCAGCACAGATCGACAATTCGTTGTTATCTCAACAAGCAGGCATGAGGTTGTTGTTGCATTGTTTACTAACGATAGCTAACGTTTTAACTGTTTGCTCTTTCTCAGAGCGTGCAAATATCAAATTGGCGCGCAATCTACTCAGTCTGACACTTTCGTCATCTCAGAAGACAAAACCTGGCACATAAATTTGCATTCGCTCAATAAACAGCTTCTTTTCAACGCTACCTGTTTTGTTCTTTGTAAATCTTCCAGTCATTCGATCAATAAGCTGTTTATTATGGGTTTCAAAACTTATCTGGTGAAGTTGTGAAAGTGTTTGAATGTGTAGATTGTGTGTCATTTTGTTATTTCCGGACTAAAAAAATGCGAAACCGCCGAAGTGTCAGGTATAATGAGTAAATATTGTAAGAACAATCTGGTGGTTGCTCATCAAGAAAACAGTGAATAAAAATCTTATAGGTGTCGTCAGATGATGGCACAGTTACAAGCCTCAGTGGTGCAGTGGGTAAGACGTGAGCAACCAGGAAAAGTAATCGAGGGTTCGAACCCGGACTGAGACTTGCGTTTTGCAAGTACCTTAGCATCGTCGTGGTTGAATTTTACATAACACTCTGCCATGGATGAAGAATAGTAGGCAGTAAATAAGGTGTAATGCATTGAAATCATATAAGTAATAGCATTCAAGCATGTAACATAATATGGTGGTGTTCGTATATTCACGGATGGCATCTCAGGATATTGCGTCGTAGCCTCTCTATTCAGCCACATTGAACCAGTATATAAACGATTACAATACTGATTAAGAGCTGACTAGATAAATGAACAGCTGAAAGGAAGGCATTCCTCCAGTGACTTTCGTATGTTTGTTGTTGTCACTGTTGTTAGAGAGATGTTGTAATATTTCTCTGACGTCGTGACATTCGTCTGACGAACAAGAAAACAAACAATAAATACAAGTAATCAATACTCTTCTTCATTCTTAATTCTATCCTGTTCACAATGCGATTGTTAAAATACTACTTACTAACGATTTGGCACTTTTGCCTTCTTTAGAGCCGGAATGATTTGAGTCGATTGCCGTGAAAAAAAACCAATAAATGAACGAGGGTAGTGAGAAGAAATGGGTAGGCTTTATTAGCTCTAATGTAGCTTTCGCTAAAATCGATGTAAGCCTATGCATAAAGTTTTTAAAACTAGTGATAAAACAGCAACAACAACAACAGTGAGAATTAGATTGGTTAATCGAATTTTCGTATTGAAGGAACCTTGTTGCCACCGCTTTCGCACCACTGCGAAGATAGCGCAACGCGATCGCTGGCCGTCACCAGCCCGCTAGATGCGCTTTGGCAACGGGATCGGGCACAATCAGTGGCAGTGGAAGCCGACCAGTACGGCTGCCACAATCGGATCGTGCGAAAGAACTCGGATACTTACCGGCCTGTGGTCGTTATCATGGTCACTGCGTTAAAAATCATTCCGAACACTAGGATTGCTTATTCTTGAGCAGGATGTAGTACATGCTAGGCTAGTTAGCCTCAGTGGAAACCGCTAAAAATCATTCAGAGCTCTAGTGTTGCTCACCACAGAGAAGTAGGAAGCATACTTTAAATTAGTTAGTTATAGTGACAACTATGAGAATTGATTCTGAACGCTAATATTACTTACATTTTAGTCCTAGGTAGTACATTTTAAGTTAGCTCTATTGACAACCGTACTCTTACTTACCTCTTTTTTGCTTCTCAATATCGCTAATCTAATCTACGATCTGATCTGACACAGCATACGAAATAGTCAAATATACGGTACAACGCTGAATTTTTAGAGAGATCTGAGGGAAAGGAAGGCTCTCCTAGTTCTCTAAAATCTCTGAGTCGCTTTCATCTTCGTCTTTCTTTTTGGCTCACAATTTCTTGCTTGTAGAAACACGTAAGAGAAGGCTGAGAATGATTGTTAGGATATTACTAGATTACGAAAGGATTCTTTAAGTCTGAACATTCGGTCTCAGCGATTAATAGGAAGAATGTTTTCTGGTGTTATAGTTATTCAAACGACAGAATAATGCGTTGTAGTTGCAGAAAGCGGTCGTGTGCCCCGTTAATATTTGTCAAGACTACAAAACAAAAGTAAATGCTGTAGAAAAGATAAAATATTCACAACTTACCTTTTCAAAGACGCTCATGTGTAGGTTTGTGTGAAAGCGGCGGAACAAAATAATTCCCGAGTTGATCCCGCCTCCTCGATTCGACATTACAACTGCGCCATATTTTCTCACTGAAGATCTAACAACAGATGTCTCTCATTTTAAGTGCTACAACAACCTAAGCCTACTTAAAGAGCTAGGGAAAATGGTTGACGCCAAGATTCATAAGGCGTTATCTCCGTTATTTGAAGCCTGGAAGTGGAAATTAAGGTTCATGAACTTTTCAATCCCTCATCAAGACTCCCACTTAGAAATCGGCTCCGAAACGGGCAATTTGGATTTTATAAGTGTTCGACAGGTAAACGGAAGCGCAGACGTAGTAATGCCGTTCATTACGGGTCAGTTACTGACTTGACCCGCCCTGCAACCATAGAAGGTCTCATCCATCAGCAGTTTCCGAATTGTTAGCAGAATTATCTGGGACCGGCTTACTCCTTCGAATTCGTGCCCTAGCGCTGGTGTCTTAGAATTCGGGAAAATAGATCCAAACACCAATCAACGTCATTCATAGCGAAGGAGTGAATCCTCAAACAGCAGCCGCACTCACACAAAAAAGTACGAAGACTGTCGTCGATGGTGGATGCGAGGAATAAAACCAAACGAAAGAATTGCTGTGATTAGCACATGTGATGTTGCGCAGTGTAAAATAGAGTGTTCAATGGATTTGAATTAATATGATTTTAAAGAAATGGACGGGCTTCTTCTTAGTCGCTCCGTTAGACGAAGAGAGGGCGAGTGGGAAAATC